TTACTCCAATGCACTGAAACAGTCTTTCCAGAGGTCCTCTCCTAGGCAAGGAGGATGTAAGGACCAGCTCTACTAAAAGCGCAGCAGACCCTGCCTAAACGACAGCTATGGAAGGAATTTCCACACTTTGTGTGGTTTTGTGATCCTTCCACACCTCTATCCAGTCCTGTCTTCTCCACTTGAACCTATTAAAGATCCTCCAACAGACCAGAAAGTTGCAGGTTATGTTATGCAAGCTCTGGATGCAACCACCATGCAGGAGTGTGTGTGTGTGTGTGTGTGTGTGTGTGTTTGTGTATGTGTGTGGAGAGGGGCTTTGTGAACCCATACATAACAGAAATTTTGTGGATGGCTTGTTCCTCAAAACTAACACTCCACGTTTAAGTGTCCAGAGAATGTATTTATAACTTTGTGGTTTTGCTTGTGATTCGGCATCTTTTCAGGTGAAGGGACTATTCTGTATCTTATATAAATCCTTCCATGACCTCTTAGTGCACAAGATATGGAAGCTTAAAACTGTGATTGATAGGAAGAAAAATAAAACGTGCTCTCAAACAGGTGTGTGGTAGTGGCATGTTTATTTCTGTGTCTTTAATCATAAAAATGCAATGCATGCATTACCATAATTATTATTCACAATTTTTATACTGTGATAAATGAAATTAAAATATCAAACAGAGATACACAGGATAAGCCAGACTGGTTGAGACCAGTGGTTCACCTAGTATCCTGTCTCCAGCACTGGCTGGTATCAGATGCTGCAGATAAAAGTAGAACAAACCATATAGTAGCCTGTTATGAATTAACATGCCCAGGAGAGAAGTTTCTTCCTGACCCTCATCAGTTAGTGGTTGACTTGTATGCCAAAGCATACATTACTATACATGCTCACATATTTATATCTATCTGTACCAAGAAGCATATGACCATACTCTGAGTCTGACTCCTGGTACTTTCACTTAAAGAAAAGTCATTCTGAGGAAAGAATTTTCTTCACCACAAGAGGCTCACACGATATATACTGGGGAGAAGGAAAGGCAGCTGAGATTGACAGCTTAATAAGGGAAACTACCTTTATGAACAGTAGTTGAAATATGCACATTTTTAAGATATTTGGGGGATTTTGATTGCATATCTCACTAATATCTCATACCTCTGAGTAACTTTGCCTATGTAATTAAGAAAATACTCGTGTGTAAGTACTTGTAAAGTGAGCTAGTTAGGTAGAGTTCATATTATGCACTCCTTTTTTCTGAAAATCATAGGATCATAATAAAACATGGTTGGAAAGTTCAAGGCAGGGTTGACCATTCCTGTATCATTCCTGACAACTGCTTCACTAACAGGCTCTTGAAAGCCACCACCACAGAT